GCTTCTGGTTAATGCTAGCAAGGCAGAAGATGTTTTCCCACTTGATAGTCTGGTAAAATCGGTTAGGTTGGAACATTTGTTATATTTCAGCTGCTGTGGTCCGCTTTCACACTGCACTGTGTCAGATGAACCAAACCTTTTGGAACAACACAAAAACCTCTGAAGACACTGGGCACAACTTCCTTCTTCACAAGGTGTAAATAAAAATGGAGTGGCGTCATATTTTGGCAGCTATAGCATTTCACTTTTGTCTTTGGTAAAAGACCAGGAGCCATTTCTACCCCTACCTCTAGATTCATGTATTTATTTTGGTCATACCGCACCAGAGTTCACTTCAACCGAACCCAGACCGATTTTTTTGTAGGCTGCTCAGAGTTTGCTTTAATGATTGACATCAGAGTACGATTACGCATCCACACCTCCTCAAATGAACCGGACTTTCTAGGCAGATGGACTGGAGTTTGATTAAAGCGGACTAAACAGGGCTGGTGTGAAGGCATCTTCATTTCCATAAAAAATGTTAAGAAGTGAAAACTATGTGCAAAGTAAGCTAAGTAAAAACAAGTAAGATATTGAAGAAATGCATGCAAATCTGCTAATTTATGCAAAATTGTTAAGAAATATATGAGATGTTAAGCCTGACTTTTACATGCTAAACCAGTACTTCTCAAATAGTGTGTGTATTGCAAGAGGCAGGAGGACTTCTGAGTGTTAAGAGCTCTGCTTCAGCTGTGATGAAATGGACTGTGTTTTAAAATTTTATTTTATTTTATGGGTTATAGATTTATTTTTTATTTGAAGGGTTCTTATTTATCGAAGCATAAATAACACTGCTGTTTTGAATACTTATGATAAAATTGTTCTTAGGTTAAAGTTTGATATGGAGTTAAGCCTGTCGCAATGAGCAATTTATCAGTTTATCAGCATGATGAATTAAAAAAAGCTCAGTAATTTTCGTTCTGATGATTAATATTTTTTAAAGTGCAATTTTTTTCCAGAAACTTTATGATCCATTTTATTTATGATTTCCATTGTGCTTGGTTTTTATTTCCTTTTTATTTATTGTTTTTGGTTGTCTTTTATTTTGGGTATTTTAAACGTCTTTCAGATCCTGTAAAAAATGAAAGTTATAATCTTTGAGCAGGCAAACCTACATTATTATGCCATTATCTTTATATCAGTTAAATCTGGTTACAAAACGACAATATTATCGTATCAAAATCATCGTTTTGTTACTGTGACGAGCCTATATGGAATTAAATTATGTCTGAAGAATCATGAAACCAGCATGTGTAAGAGTAAAAGTTTACATGACGGACTGCTCATTCTCCTGTCAAGTTTGCTTTTAATAATATATTTTTTAAAATAAATGCAGATGATCCTGTATCTGAATCATTATAATCAGTTTTAAACTCCTTTGAATCGCATTATACATTTTTGCCTCCACGGCAGCATATTAATGGGTGGTGAACTTTGTCATTACTTCGTAATCTGGAAGCAGATGAATCTGTGTGCCTGGTGAGTGACTGCTTCTGAACTTGGGAAGAAAGTGCTTTGGCTTTGCTCTGTCGGCCTCTCTTACATTGCAGATGCTGGTCTGTTTAGTTTTTGTGATGTTTCTTTCTAGTAACCTTCAGTACATCTGCTACAGCACATTACAACAAAGTAGAGAGAATCACAGCGTTGCGGCTTGCCTTCTGAAAATACATAAACTGTGGTGAGATCCGCTTTTATCTTTGAACGGAGTGATTTTAGCAATCATCTTCAGCACCAGTAAGATATTATGCTGCTTTCTTGCGTTGAAAGTCGTCTATGAGGACTGGAGGAATGAAAGCAAATGCCTCAACTTCCAAAGCGGTCGCTCAACCACACCATTAAAAGATCATGGCCCAGCCCTGAGTTGAACTGTGGTAGCTGTTACTCTGAGTGGTGTGTGGGTGTGTATGTGTTGAACTTTCGCAGTGACGCTGTTTATTTGGTTGCTAGGCAGTAACTTGCAGGAGCCCTGGAATGGACCTGACTAACAGAGATGGAGGACAGGGAGGGGATTTCTCTCTTGGTTGAACTCTATTTCAGAAGCAGCAGTTGGCTCGCCTAAAAAAAGGAACAATTCTGCTCTACGCTTTTCTCATCCTTCCAAACAGACTAGACTCATTCCTGTCTGCATCTTTCTTCACTTTCACTGGAAAGGGACAGATGAGAGATGTTCCACAGCTTTTATTTGTTTCACAGATTACAAGGTATCCAGAATTGCTGAAGAAATCCTTTAGCCTGAAAAGACTGAGTCCAAAGCTTCTATTTTCCTCCAGCATGCAGTCAGAAAGTGTTAACAGTAAAAGTATTACTGATCATTTTCACGTTTGTCTCTCAATCCCAGAAGCCTTCTGGTGTGTAATAATATTTGTTCTAAAGGTTTCTTCAGTTTTCCTGAAAAAGTAAAAGATACATTTAATGTGTTTAGAGTTTTTATAAAAATGAGTCAGTGAAAATAAAGACATCAAAAAATATTTACAGAAAATTCCTCTACATATCAGCTGTTACTTGTTCCCTTTTTTATAAACACAAATAATTGAAATTAGAGCTGCAAAACATATCACTGTCATAGCAGTATTAACATAGCAATGACCTACTTGTACAACAATAATTATTAGCTAATTATATAAATAAATTCATGCTTATGTTTTTATGTCTGGTGATTGTTTTAAAGATGTTGGTGATGTCATTTACAAATTATTGTAAAAAAAATATATATATATATATATATATATATATATATATAATTAAATTCCTTTTTTAAATAATTAAAGTTTATTTGTATAACAAAGAGCTTTACATTATAAAAACATTAAAAAAATACAAAGTTGTAGAACACAGTCAAGAATTGTCAAGTGCCGTCGTTACACATCAAAATTATTAACTTTTCATTTTTGCTTCAAAAGCATAAATCCAGCTGGGTTTTTATCATTAATTTAAAAGAAGTAAGTGTTTTGACTATTTTACAATTTTCTGGAAGTTTGTTCCAGATTTGTGCTACATAGAAGCTGAATACTGCTTCTCCATGTTTGGTTCTGGTTCTGGGGATTTTAAACATTGTATTGCCTAAAATGCCATAACATTACATTTCTTTGGTTGTCATTAGTAGATTAATTGATGCATTTTTGCAATAACCAAACAATAATTGGATAGCAAAAGGTGCGCAGTACGAGGTTTAGTTATTTTGAGAATAAACTTTCACTGAGTCTAGTAATGATTAATGTATTAATGTATTATTGAATCAGTTATTTCAATCATCTGAGTCCTGGTTTGTATTGGATGCATCTAATGCATTGTGCTTTAGTGTGGAAGCCAGCGTGGCAGCATTTGGCCACAGGGTGCTAATGCTTGACATGACCAATTCCTTATCTGAAAAGATAGTTGTTTTTGAGAATATCACTCACCTGTCTTATTAATGGAATGAACTCTAAGCAGTGAGTGGGGGACACCTGTCTAGTGTGGGCAGAGAGTCTTCAGAGCAATTATTTCATTATCATTTTAATTTTATGCAAGTGAAAGTCATGAATAGGATTCCAATGCAAAGATTTTTTCCCATTACATAATTAACAAATCAGCATTTCCATGGTGACAGGATGACACACTTTGCTACGCCATCTTATGTGAAGCAGCACAGGAATCTAATGCCTTAATAAATTCAGATCAGAAAGAGATTCCTAAGGGGAACAAGTACATGAGGCTGGATGCTTCACTGATGCTCAGAAATAAATAGAGACCTGTTGATCTGTGACCACTAACAGCATGGCGCTAAAACGAACAACATGTCTGCCAGCAGCATTTTAAAGACAGGATACCACTACCTTGTTGCAGAATATTTTATAAAATCAGACATAGGGATTAAAAACTGTCTTCTTGCTGTTTTCTTTAAAATAAAAGTTCACGCATTGCTGTCTGAAAGACTAAATCTGAGTTCTGGTGCAGTTTTGGTCAAATCCTAGCTGTTAGGTTAATGTAGTTTCACTCTCAGCATGTACCCACTCAGCACAGTTGTTGTTACTTTACATTTAAGTGGAGATTCCTATGACACTTTGAAGGCTTGTTGCGAAATACAATGTCCACATATTTCCTTGTCATTTCCTTTAATTAAGACACATTGGACTGTTATGGAGACCAGGGGTTCCATCCCATATTGATTTTTGATATTATGTTATTTATTTACAGTCCAAATGTGTTTTGTATCACTTCTTTATTTCAGTTACATTGTGACTTTTAGTGAATATTCTTTTTGGGTAGGGAGACTGGCCATCTTTCCTGTTCAGAGAATGTGTGGGGGGGAAATGTCAGTTTGTTTCTGATTGGTTCAATTTGAGCTAATTGTTTGAGTACTTGCCTTTCTGGGTGTGTCTCAGCAAGGTAGAGCAGAAGGGGAGACAAATGCTCCTGGAGCATACCATCTTCCATTAAGAGGGGTAATACTCTGAGGATTTATATTTAGTTACATTTACTTTTTGATTGACCTTAGATTAGTTTAGTTTTAATAATTTGCATGCATGTAAATATTTGTTGGATCATTTATTGTTTGCTAGGTTTGTGTAAGTAGTGCTTGTTTCTTGTTTGTCTTTTTTTGAACACCCCTTTACCTGGTGTAAGTGGAACTTGCCTCAGGTATAAATGTCAGCTTCTTTGTTTCACTGTGTGAAGGGTGTCGGTGTAATGGTGACCTGGAGCTCCCAAATAAACCCACCTTAACTACATTCTGTTGCCTCGCCTCCTGACTTAATGCAGAGCCTCTGCCGGTCAAAGTGTATTTAATATTTTAAATTGACTGTGAAGAACCTTTAAAGTGTTTAGGTTTTGTCTGATTGGACTTTTTTGACTCAACATCAGGATCTTTTTCCTCTTTTTGTTAAATTCTGTACATTTCAGTAATGTCAAGATCGTCCAGAAATATTTCTAACCTGGAGTCCCCTGACTGAATCTTACTAAGATATTTGTGTTTTATGTTGTAGCTTGCTGGAGGTGTGATCCTGGGCGTGGCCCTTTGGTTGAGACATGACCAAAAGATCAGCAACCTCATGTCGCTTGAAGTGGATGGAGCCCAGACCCCCACCTCCTTCTACATCTGTACGTAACCCATCTTCATGTCTGACCTGCTCTGTTCCTATCCTCACAGCAGGTCACGCTCACCAAAAACTGCTGTAGGTTTGAGTGCATTGCAGTAGAGACCATAGAAGAGCCTTTTGATTAATTGACCGGTCCCAGTGTCCAGAAATCCAGGTGTTGAAGAGTATAGTGGCTTACAGACCACACCTCTATTTATTCTAGAGATGTACTGATGCAATATTAACATCTGCATCAGTCCCGATATTATAAAAAAAATCTAGATCAGGTATGTATGGAATAAAAGGACTGAATTTATATAACACCCTTCCAGTCATACCAACCATTCAAAGAGCTTTACATTACCACATTCACTCATGTTTGCTCACATTTCTACAATTATAAGATCTGTAGGAAACTTAATGCCTTACCAAGGGCTACATCAATATATGAGAGAAGAATAGAACCTACAACCTCCTGACTTCAAGATGACTATTCTGCCCACTGAGCAATAACCATTCAAACCCCAAACAGAAAATGTGTTGAGGCTGAAAGCCTGGAAAGAATGATGGTTTCTCCTGAGTCACCCCGGTTAAACCCCTGGATGTAGGATTGGGGCGTAGTTTGACAGTGTTGAGGAGAATGTTTCCTGGCCCTCTCTTACCACTCAGTACCAGTTTGTTCTGGTTTTCATGTCCTTCCCTTTTGCATCCCCCCACTTAGTGGCTTCAGATTCCCATCTTACTTCCAGCACTGTATTAAAGTAAAATGCATCTTAAGCCAATTTCTCGACCATAAGGGTCAGAGTCTAGTGGCCTCTCTCTCTCACTAGATCTGCCTTCTTAGTTTAAGGTGTGGCCAGGAAGTGGAACTTTAATGCACTGTGGACAAATGAGACATTGTGAGATTCAATGACACAAACATTAAACTGATTTTTAAAGGAATGTTTCCACCATCATGTGGAGCTAAGGCTTCAGAGATCTGATCTGGGTGAGTGTATCTTCCACAGTCTCGCCCACATCATCAGCTACTTCTGGCCAGGACTAACGGTGGACCTGCTGCAAGTCACATGAATCTGTTTGGAGCTCAACTCGCCCAAATTAAGTTAGCCTCCCTGCCATTTCCTCTCATCTCCATCAGCATCTGTGAGTCAGTGCACAGAGATGAGGAAGAGAAAAGAAGTGAAAGTTAGAAAGGAACATTTAGGATGATGAGTTTGTGAAGAGAAATGTTGTTGTTCAGTCTGCGTGTTTGGCTGTTCTTTAATGCGGCATAGCTGTGGCTGTTTGTAAGAGTCACTTTGTGATTTTCCCTCAGTGACTACATCCTGCCCATTACATAAAGCCTGGCCCTCTTTCCTAAGACGAGGAGAAAAAAAAATCAGCATAGGAAAAAAATTCTCAGTCTCCTTCTCTTCTACTCCTCCCCTTCCCCCTTTTCCCATCAGCCCCCCACCCCCCTTTTCAGAGAGCTCCCTTTTCTTTTCACCGCCCTATTTCTCAACGCTATAGCTCCACCCACATCTCCCCGTCTGGTTGTGGTTAGTGTTAAAGTCGCTTTATGTCTCTTCATTTTTCCTTAATCCCTCCCACCTTCTCTTTTTCCTCCATCTGTTTTCTCCTTTTGTCTCTCAGAACCCCCACACACTGAAAAATCCCTCAACATGAACCAAACATGACGACCCCTCCCCCTGCACTAATAAATATATACATACTTTCAGAACTCGCGCTTTGAGTGCTTTCTGAACAGCAGAACTGCAGTAAGCAGCGCTTGCATAACCAGAAGTTTGCTCAACTTGTTCATGACTGGAACTAAGGTTTAAATCTGATTTGGGACATTCCTCAGCATCCATGTCCAAATTCCTATCTAGTAATTTTTCTGCTAAATTACATTTGTTTCCTCATCAGCAAAAAAGCTGATAAAAGCACTTTCATACAAGTTGCATAATCCCTTTAGGCTTTGTGTCACAAAGAGTATCTGACAGCAGAATTATGTTTGGGATTAATTTTTTTTTGTTGTTGTTTTTAAATCTGACTCCCTACGATGACCTGATCATAAGTTCCTGAACAATGGAGCAAGTTGAGCAGGGACACCCAATTTTTTAAAGGGGGAGTGCAAACTTCTGTTTTTCTTCACCATTTTTTGACCCAAAGAAATCTGATCACTCCTGTGATGTTGGTCAGATTAACCCTAACCCTAAATTCAAAGAATTTCAACTTATGATTGAATCAGATCGATTGAATCAGATTGATTGTGATACATGAAGAATAATTGAGTCTAGGTTTTTAGAGAAGTATATTGAAATTCCTGGTCCACAAACTATTGTTTTAAACCATTGTGAAAATGTACATTATGATGTCAAGCCCTCCACACTTATGCAAACCTGTAGAGATTCTGTTATATGTGTAAAACTCCTGAAAACTCAGGGTGTGCCCAGAGAAAGACGAGATGAAATAAAACAAGGATTGACTAATCAGCTTCTTATGGAAAATGTTGATAGTTCTGCTGCTGTCAGCCCTGTTGAGGGACAATAGGAACTTCAGGATGTTGCAAAACATGACTCCCCTTGACTCACCATTGCACAAGTTGAATTAAACTTCCTGTCTTCTCCCAAATCATAGAGGTCCTAAGAAACCAACATGAGTCAGTGAAACATGTGCAGCGAAGTCCCACAGACATGTCCAGTCTGGAGTAAATGTACATTGCCGTAGCAGTTTATAGCAGTGGTCCCCAAAGTCGGTCCTTGAGGGCCGACATCCTGCATGTTTTAGTTCTCTCCCTGGTTTAACGCACCTGGATCAAATGATGGCTCATTAGAAGGCCTAAGAAGAACATTGACATGCTGAGAAGGTTGTTACTACCACCAGGGAGAGAACTAAAACATGCATACTGCCGGCCCTCAAGGACCAACTTTGGGGACCACTGGCTTATAGGAATTCCAGAAATACCTGTACATTTGTCACTGAGCCGTCAATGTTAAGATCACCCCTTTCTTAATCATATTTACGCTATCTGTTGTTGGTGAATGTTTGTTCTGATAGCTGCACTACAGTTTACCCCCTAAAGATATTAAACATACCTCAAAAACCTTAAAGTCAGTAACTATTAAGGGTGGCATTGGTACATCTAGTGTGGTTTTAATCATTTATTGCCGATTAGGCAGCGCGCAATGAGCTGTGTCTCCCTAATCTACAGACAAGGTTTTATATGTGGTCTTAAAAAGTCTTAAGCTTAGTGATCCCAATTTTTGGCCTTAATAAGTGCTATGTACGAGAAAGCCTCCCGTACTTGGTCAAAAATTAGGTGCGTGTTAAACTTCTATTTTCATGCATTTTTCAGCCCGCCACCTTGTTCTGTTATCCACTATCAAGATGTGCTGTTTTTACTGATTGGCCAGTTTCTGCCCACCATTCTGTTCTGTTGTGATTTAGCAAATTTCCCATATTTATTGATCAGTTGAATGGAAATCATCCATACTGTAATTTACATTAAGATCAAGTTTGAAACAGTCTTTGAAAGAGTGAGATTCAGAGTGATTAATTTCCACTGACGGTCTCACTGTGACCTTAAATCCCCTGAAACTATGGAACATACTAAACATGCATTATCTGAAATGCAGGAGGCATGTGTGACAGAGAGAGGCCAGATCTCAAATGTTCCATTTTTGTTGCTAACTGCTGTAATAAAGCCCCTACCCTCTTGCCAAGCCTTTGTGCTTGCTTGTAAAATTGCAAACTACCCCTAAGTTTTCCAGGCAGCAATAACAAGCTAGCTCCAGAGAAGTGGAGTTTCCTTTCTGCCCTAATGTGAAGCATGCATCTTTTGTTTTTTGCTTTTCCAAACAGCTGAGGCGATTCTCTGCTTCTGGTTTAATTTAGGTGTTGGAGGTTTTATTAAATTTTTTTATGTAATACCTGACCCTGCTTCACTAAATGACCTCAGGCTACTTTTCTGGCCTTACTGTATTGCTACAGTTCTGCTTTGTGCTATTAGCACAACAGTCGATTCATTCAACACATGGATGAGAGCTGTACCATGTTTACTTCAACTTTTCTGTGCTATATTGACATCTCAAATGACTGCTGTAATAAGTGCAGTATCAAGTTTTTTCTACACTTATTCAAACTTTGAGCTCACACTGTGCATGCAAACATAATGCAAACTGGACTGAATAATGTCTTTCTCTAGTAGATGTCCACACTTTTTGCCTACTGCTGTACCAAAGATGCTAAGGCTCACAGAAAGTAATGGAAGGACACCTGAGACTGGAAGAAATAAAGATTAACTGCAATTTGCAGGAATGAACTCTGTCAAACTAATAGATATAATTCTTGGGTTGGATAGGCGTTTCCTTTCTGACATGTCTGTCTGCTAATGTCCCTAATTTCTGGGACACATTGGAGAATTTATGAGGGTTGTTTTCTTTTACGGCAACCGAATAATGTGCATCACTTACAGTAGAGTTTGGAAGCTGTGACTGTACAACAATTTACTAATACTCTGGGATGGATCGAAAGATTCTTTCTGCTTACACGTTTGATGTTTCAGGAGAACATTTAACAAGCAAGTTAATAACGTTCCAGCCAATACAGGTGGCTAAAAAATCTTTACAAAGAATTTAACCATCCATAGATCATTATCTATGGATAATGTGATATTGCACAATTTCTCCCAGAAAACTTACTAAGCTCTGTGTTCGAATGCTAAAGCAAACAAACACAATTACAATAAAAATGAAAGATTTTTGCACTTGAACTCTTTCAACCTAATTGTGTGCAATTTAAAAAAAAAAAACCTTTATCTGTGACTTGTCACATTATTTGCTGAAGTGACAACTTCAGCAAATAAAGTGACAAATCACAGACTGTCTACAGTGTAGACTGGTAAATACAGGCAGTGGTTCTGGAATTCCAGTGAATAAAAAGACACCTGACCTCAGATGTGTTCACATACTGATCATACTATGTTGCCATTGTGCTTCCAACCATTTCAGCAAAGAGACTCTTTACTCCATCTTTGTCATCAGTTATTGGTGTGTAAGAAACTATAACAAATAAACGCAACACTTAGCCTGGTGGGGGCACAAGCAAAGTCTGGTGGCCTGCCAGGCTTATATTACACTGGGGGAAATGTAGTGCTGCATAAAACAAGTGAAACAGATTAAGGCCTGAGCCATCAGACAATGTATGACACGGCACTGTTGGAGAAAAGGACTTTCTAAAAACACAGATAAAGCCAGTATACTTAGTGTACATCATTATAGTTTTTCATAGTTGTGCTGTTTTGTTAAGAAATTATAGCAAAACAGGGAAAAGGAAACTGCTCCAAGGAAAACTTGTATTGTATTTGTGCACAATAGCTGGATGGCTTAGCTGTAACCTCTACGACATCCTACTCCGACTGTAGCACTAATGCTAAATAAATCTTCTATTGTTACGTGTTTTTTTTTTAGATTTCTTTGTCAGCTGTACATTGAATTGTCCGTTTAGGTAAGTTGACCTAGAATCTAAAATGAGCATGAAATAAAACATGTCAGCATTGTCCTCATTGGAAACTGCTATTGCTATTAGGATTATATGTCTTGAACATAGCTCTGAAATATTAGGAAAAGTAACTGTTTAGATTACAGTGGACCCCTGGTATATGCAGGAGATGGGTATAACAGCAGATCATGAATTGGCAGAATCCACAATTATATGAGACCTCCTCCAAAAAAATTGTTTGAATACCTAACTTCTGGATTGTCCCTTTGCAAACACCAGATGGCATGTCAAGGATTGCACCCAGGTATTCCAGTTTCCCAATGTCCATCTTGTTTAGAATATTTTAGGTATGTTCAAATACTAATTTCAAGTCACTCTTTACATACAAATCTGTAAATAGATTAATCCACAGTACTGAATCGTGAATAAGTGGCTCTTCCACTTTTTAATTACCTACACTCATCTACACTTGTCCAACTGCTTCTTACCATAAATAGAAATACCTAGTTGGTTTGCCTTTATTAGTACTCAAGATAAATTTGGTGTCAACACCAAAAAAAAGTTAAATCAAAAGTTAATCAAGTTAATCTAACGTAGAGTAACAACCTTTATTTAAACATTTTGTGAAACAGTCAATACAATAAAATAAAATAAAAAAAGTTTGTTAGAGGACTGCAGTCTTATGAACCTTCAGACCAGGTAACGGGCTTTTCAGTGTTTAAATATACTGTCAATTTAGAAGATCTCAAGAGGAATTAACTTGACAGCATCTATTGTGTCATTTAGTTTCCTCAATTTAGGATGATTTTAATCCACTTTCTGTACAGCAACGGAGAGAGATCACCAGTTTTTCCACTCGTAATGCTTGATGAATAGTTGCACCCAAAGAGTACAATGGAAGACAATCTGGGGAAAAAAAGCATTCAAATGGATGGAATTTTTGAGAGCATTGCACAGAGAGGATGGCTGAATGCCAAATAAAGGTGGTATTTGACAAACTGTAAGTGCTGTGTCAATCTGAACGGCCCAGTATAAAAGATGGACAGAGCACTTGCAAAATTATTGATTTAGAAATCACGTGTACTTGTCTAGCTCAGTGAGTGAAGAGGATGTGGGAGAGAGATAGGATATATACAAAGCATGGCCCCAGTTAGTGATCTAGAATTAAATTATGACCGAGCTGACAGGCAAGAGTGATGGTGTAGGATAGCTGGCGTCCTCTGAGCCTGGAACAAGCGTTAGAGGAGTGTTTCCAACATGGCTGAAGAGTTGTTACTGTGGGCCATTAGGAGGTTGTGGACTCTGACAGTCTAGGCATTTAGCCATTGGTAACTTGATCAATAATTAAGCCAGTCATTGATTAGATTTATGATGAAACATTTACTATACAGCATTTGGGAAATACAGTAACAATCAAATATTTACATACACTTTATGAAAACACAAATCACTTAGTTTTGATCAGACAGACTATGTGGCAATAAATCAAAATCCCAGGAAGTGATGCAATATGCCTTGCCCAGTCAAGTAGAAAAAAACCCATAAATCAAGTAAATATGAAACACTAGTAGTAACTGCTAATATGCAGGAATACTCTAAACATGTTCATACCTTAAAATTATGTACTGTTTTTTAGTCATAATTTCAAAGTTTTATTTTACTTCCTTTCTTGATTTATTTGGTGGCTTTCTTCTGTTTTTGCCTTTTTATCTTTTCCTACATTGATAAGTATTCATACTGCTTGATTTTTACATTACTTTTAAATGACAAACAAATGTCTTTTAAGCACTGCAGCTGTATGTGATAGATCAACACAAAGTAATTCATAATTATGAAGTAGGAAGAAAAATATTTTTTTACAATATATTTTACAAACTGAAATCTGAAATGGGTTGGCATACATTTCTAATCTGCCCCTTTTCTGTGCTGACCTTAAATAAAATCCTGCACGGCCAAGTTAGTTAGTTTCATAAACCATCTATGTGGAACTTATTCTCAAATATAAATTCAGTTTCTCTGTGTGTGTGTGTGTGTGTGTGTGTGTGTGTGAAAAAGCTGTGAAATCCAAAAGCATTATGGGAGAATCTGTCAACAGGACAACTATTAGTCCAAATCTGAGATGTTGGGAAAAGAATTCCATAAGAACTCCTGCTTACAGTTTGCCACAAACCATGTAGAAGCTGATTTTTTATTTTCATTTTTCTTTTGCCTACTTGATGTTTAAAATTTAACAAGCAGCATTCACTCCTCCATGACAGCTCCTTCCATTATGTTGTTGACCTTCAATTCAATTTCAATTTCATTTTCAGTAATTCGTTTTTTGTTGTGATAACCTAAAAACCTTCGGGAGTCAGCCGACAGGCATAGTGCAAGAAGTGCAGATGGTACATGTGCAATCTGATAAAGTGCAATAATAATGATAGTAATAGTTCACCCATTGCAAATGCTTAAATGGACGGAGGGGGGAAAAGGAGTCAATGATGGTCAGCAGTCTTACAGCCTTAGGGTACAGCCTGTTGACCATCCTAGTGGATCTTACCTGTATGTTCTCCATGGCAGGCTTTGGAACAGGTGAAGTGCTGGGTGGTACTGGCTTCTCAGGATGTTGTGTGTTTTGTGTAAATAGCAGGATATGTAGACAAATGGCAGGTTGCCAGCCATTCTCACCACCTTCTGGATTGCTTAGCTGGAGAACCACACTGAAAGTCTGTAGGTTACCAAACTTTGGATAGCAGAGTTGTAAAAGTTAATAATAAACCTTTTAGGAAATTTGGCTCTCTTTAGATTCTTCGGATAGAAGGGTCACAGTTGGATGCGCCATAATGGTGATGTATCAATCCAGGCTAAGTCATATAACAGCCCCAGAAACCCAAAGCTGGAGATTCTTTCTCCTACCTCATTGTTATTGTAAAGTGGTGAATGGATGGACAGGCAAAAATGTCCCATTATGTCATTTGTCTTTTTGTAGTTAAAAAATAAGTTACTGTGAGATCGACCGCTTTGTTTTCTGCAAACCTGGTGATGTGATTGGATGATTGGGAAGCAGAACAGTCATGTGTGTAGAGTAGTGGACTGAACACACAGCCTTGAGGACCCTTACATTGGTGCAATATAAGGGTCCTACTTTCACACACTGGGAATGGTTGGTTAAAGTTTAATTAAGGTTAAAATCTTATGTCCAGTTATTTAGTAGACTGCTTATCCCAGTTCCAATAGGAGTTTGTTTGGTAAGATTGTGTTAAATGCCAAACTAAAGTCAATGAACATAAATAAATGACCCTCATCAGAATATAGATTTTAAATTATTGAATAGGGCTGGGCAGCAAAATGTGGATTTTCAAAATGCTGAATTTAAATTCATGCTACATCTGTAAAATATTTCAGATCCACAAATCAATTTGTATTGCACTTATAAATGTATTATAAGTGTATTGCATTTCATAAATACACCCTTTTTGTATCATTATTATTATTACTCCACAGGACATGAGCCAAACAAATTGAGCAAAGGAGCAGCATCACTGGTTAAGGCTGGGAAAGCTTTAGCCTCAGACCTAGCGTAGCATTATTTTAGAACAGTCTTTGTCTGTTCCTCACAGGCAGATGAGAAAATGTTCCATTCCAACAAGTAACAAACACACCGCTGATGAGATGAAGATTCTGTACATTTGACCCAGTAAAGGTTTTGATCTTTCTTTTTTTTTGTATCATTTAAACTACTACTGTAGGAAACACCAGCAAGATGATGTCACTATTTATGAGACCCTTACTTTCATAGCTAGTAGGTTTCACAAACTACATGTGATACATTCTTGAAATTCTGCAGATATATTTATAATTGAGAGGAAAGCTGAGTGCTTTTCAAATGTCATTTTTACATTTTCTATTTTTTATATATGTGCTACAAAGGTAAGGAAGTTCTGACTGTGTCAGCTTAGTGTGGATCATCACTCAGGAAAACCATTTAAAGGAGAGAGTCACCTCTTAAATACCAAGCAGACACGTTTTTTCCATTCTGCTAGTCGTCTATCTAATCTTCCAAGTCAAATAAACTGCCCAGATCAGAACAAAGACACAAAGGTCAATAGTTAGATTGCGAGGGGGAAAAACTGAACTCCAGAGCCAGTTTAATATCCTTCTAGACCAATTTGTGTTGCTTTATGGAGAAGGAATAAAAGAGGGAACAACATGGGTGCAAATAAGGAGTATGACTCACTTTTTCCTGCTGACAGAAAATCCGAGTGCTGCCCCCTGTTGTACGTCAAGTAGTGCTGCCTAGATTTAACTGAGCAAAGTTTTTTGTTCAGATCCATATTGAAACAGTGTGATTTTACTGTGTTTTTTTTATTCGTCTGTCCAGGTGTCCACATTCTGATCGCGGTGGGCACTGTGATGATGGTGGTCGGTTTCCTTGGATGCTACGGCGCTATTCAGGAGTCCCAGTGTTTATTGGGAACTGTGAGTTGGTTTTATCCTGCAGTCATTCCAGCCTCATAAAGTGCCTTCTAATTGTTTCCTTTCTCTTTCCTCTCTACTTCAGTTTTTCGTCTGCCTGGTCATCCTGTTCGCCGGTGTAATTGCTGCTGGGATCTTGGGTTACATGAACAAAGACACTGTAAGTGGAAACAGAAGTGGAGACTAAAGTAATGTACCATGCAAAAGTATTCACACCCAGAACTTTAGCACATTTCATTACATGAAAACCACAAAATGTTTTATTTATTTATTTTTTTTTTAGGATTTCACATGACAGACTAAAACAAAGTTTAACATAATCAAATAGGGAGAAGGAAAATTATATATTTTTTTCAAATTGTTTACAAAAAACATTGGAAAAGTGTATCCTGTATATTTTTAGCTCCTCTTTGTTGTGCTTTGTAGAATATAAAGTAAAACGTGACCCTTGTCAGATGGCTGTTCATACTGAGCCAAGTTCTGGTTCTGCCTATTAACAGGAAGTTTTCCTTCCTCCTGTTGCTACATGCAAGCTCAGTATGAGGTGTTTCTGTAAAGTCAATGACAACACAATCTGCTGGGTTTCCTTAGAACAATTTTTAACAAATGTATGATTGGACCAAAAGGACTTTTTTGTAAAGTGAGGCACTTTATAAATAAACTGAATAGAGGAGTTAAAACAACATCTTGTTTGGGAAATGTTTCTACCACCTTTGCACATATGGATGCTGAAATCTGCCCATAATTCTCTCCAATTTTACTCAAGCGCAGAAAAATTATAGGTGGACAGTATCAGAAAAGTTTTCCAATTTAATTAAATTCTAGAATTTGACTGGGCCTCTAATGGTTTGATTTGAACCATTCAGTTGTCCCACTGGAAGATAAACATCCATGTCCATTATCAGTCTTTTGCAGCCTCTAGCAGGATTGTTTCTAGGATTGCCCATTAGTTGGCTTCATTATTAAGTGAATGGTCTGGTATGAGTCGCTTTTAAAATGGAAACAAAGTAGCTTTAATTTTACCCAGTTTATTCTCGTGATATGCAGATCTAACTCAACATCCAATGGAGCTGCAGAAGAGAAACTGAACTACAATGAGTTAGTTGCCCAAATTATGAGGTAATCAATAAGAAATTCACTTCAGTATTACAGTTTTATTCAAAAACTATGCGTAGAAAGCGAAAACAGTCTTACTGACTTGAACATTTATACAGTTTTTAACTCTAGCTGGGACTTGGCTCTTGGCCTTGTTCCCTCTTCTGGTGCAGTAGCCACCAGAAGAGGACGAAGGTGAGAAGCTGAACTCAGATAAAACTTTACCTGCATTTCTACTACAAATGTGTGCAAAACCTTGTCAATATTTGGCTAATGTTGAGACAGTTTTGGATTTTTCCATTAACAAATAAAGCTATTTAAGACCACATGTGAATGAGTTTGTTCACACATTAGTTACTAAAAACATGCTAGGCCATCATCCTCCAATTACTTCCTTTCTTCTTCTTTGTGGTTTGCGCCAGTTTAACGTTTGGGTGTTAAGTGACTTGTGTGAAGCAAAAAAAGTTTTCATAGCAGCTTTGTGAAACAAACAAATTTTGATCCAGCCAAAAACCCACCTCATCCTAGCGCCAAAATCTTTCCTTGACAAAAGAGTTTTTGAAATTGGCAAATTTATGTTCTCAAATTACGCAATTATATGGTCAGTGAATTTGGTTTCTGACATGATGCCTTTGCATAGATTGTAGGTAATACCAGAACTTTCACTGTGTAACCAGCTGCTGCCTTCTGTGTGTCACTTCTCTTATTCAGTCAGAGCTCCAAACCACCTGCCACCACCTTTTGGTTCTAATGTGGGTGAAACTGCTATTATAAAATCTGGTTTCTTTTCCAGGTTTCAAAGGAAATGAAGAAGTTCTATGACTCTGTCTATGACATGGCCATATCAGACACCCTTAATGACCACACTAAAAAGAAGGCTGTTGAACAAGTGCTCAAGGCCTTCCATGAGACGGTACGACCATGTTAGATTGAAAACTAAACCAGCAGAAATGAACTGTGTAAAACCGCCTCTTGGAACAAAATCAAGTCAAAATTTGGTGTCTTGTAAAAAACCTTTTAATTCTGTCATCTGTGTAATGTTTTTATGTTTCAGCTTCAATGCTGCGGTAAGGACAAGATAACCTCAACTTTCTCAGTGATAACAAGTAAAGTCGGCTTTCAGGACGTCTGCTCCAGCCAATGGACCTTTGTTGTAAGTAATATCACCTATGTCAGCATTTTCCTTTTCACCCTCAGCCAGAAACAGGCTTTTGATAATATGTCCATTTTCAAGGCTTTTCTAGACCGCTTTATGTTCATACACCCATTATGGAAGTCTATATTAGGCTCATTTTGTAGTTAAGTACAAATTATTAAATGCAATTCAAGTTCTACATGCCAATTCAGCAATTTGTAGGTACACTTAGGAGCCATGTTTTTTTTGTTTTTTTTAACCATAAACAAAACTTTCTACACAAGTGAATTTGACATTTTCATGTTAGTTTATTTCTTATTCTAGAGCAGTATTGTTGAGAATTCTAGAGATAAATAGCCTTAACGTAAAATTGGCTTTCTCAAGCTTTACGTTATGCTGTGATGACAACCTCACATCATAAACATACTCAGAGTGTTGCCTTGATTATATCATGCGTGTTTGAGAAATCTTTTAATCTCCATGGCAACCATTCAGCTGTGCCAAACACCTGGGTGAACTTAGCGCTGCTTTCAAGAGGCAGCTCCTCTGTGGAGCTGCAGTTTCTAAGCTTCCGATCTTTCACCTCCATGACTCTACCACTCAGCTCCTTCAGACTAGCCAGCAGCAATTAGCAAACACCTGAAGGAACTGTGCATCTACTGAGCTCAACATAAAAGCTACATCTCAGTACAGCGCTTACTCGAGTTAATAGAACAGCCATGTTGTAATGACTTCCTGAAGGCAGAGTTTTAGAAAGAGCAGGAGTTTTTAAAGAGACAGAGGCCCAATTTCAAGGCATTGAACTGAAATCTAATGCCTTGAAATTTCTTTAAAGTTCTATTTGATGTTTAACATTTTTACCACTATTGAAGGTAACATAGTTACCTGATTGTGCTATGAAATGCCTCTGGAAAATACCTGCTCCTTTAAAATGTTCACAACCTACATATAATGTTATTTATTAGTAACTGTTTTTCTTATTACACAATTTCTATTAAATGCAGTTCTTATCCTAGTTTGGGTCAATTTACTCCTTTAAAGTATAACTATTAAACCAAAGAAACTCTGAGCAACCTCCTGGTGGCAGATGTTATTTATTGGGGTCATAAAACCACATTTCCTTTCGGTGGACTATAACCACATTAAGAACATCGTCTTAAATCACTGGTCATCAAATTGGTATGAAGCGTCCCTCTGGCAGTTGCAGACTGGAGGCGCTGACTCTTCATCTTAATGTGGAGCGGTGGAGGACAGCTTTAGCTAATGTTGGAAAGTAATTAGTAACAAAAAAAGCAACCTGTTACTAACTTAATCACTGAAACATGACCTTAAACAGAAAACTAACACAGACTGAACACACCATTCTTAAACTGAAACATGATGGTGGTAGCATCATGCTGTAGAGGATGCTTTTTTCTGTAGGGACATGAGAGCTAGAAAGAGATGGATAAAGGGACCAATGTGAATAAATACTTAAGTGGAGGTTCAGATTAGAGCAGAACCAAAAAAATTAAAGTTAGGCATCAGATGATGTCTAACTTTAAAAGTTTTTCTTTATCTCATTTCACAGCCTGATCTTCATAATATCATGTTGTAGTGATTCCTCTTCTCAGTGAAATGCTGCCTTAAAATCAGAATTGAAATGGGGAGAAAACATGTTTTGGTGTTATTCCAGTTTTAAAGGTAGTGACTAATTCTCATTTTAAAATATATATTTTTGGATTATTTAACACAGGGGTCACCAACTCCAGTCCTCGAGGGCTACCATCCGGTAATTTTTAGATGCGTCTCTGCTCAAACACACCTGGATCAAATAAACTACTCGTTTCCAGACCATTGCAGAGAGGAATGAATGCTGCTGAGGGAATTCAAACATTTTGGAGCAGAGGTTAATCTAAAAGTTGCAGGATGGTAGAACCTCGAGGACTGGAGTTGGTGACCCCTGATTTAACATGTTGTCAAAATGATCCATGACCTGTTGAACTCGTTGGGCTAATTTGTTGTAATTTTCTATTACCCTTAAAGTTGTTTGTTATATGTAAGACCTCAGAATTGTTTCAAAAATTGTGTATCTCTGTGATATTTTTCATGTATTGAGGTTGCCATTTTCTCATCTTTGCAATGCATGCTGGGCTGATGGTGTGGGTGTTAGTGGAACTGAGCCTAAACATGAGAAATTAACGCTAGCACTCTGTTGTGAAGGCCCATAAAATGTCTGAAAGGACAAATGCAAATTTTAGGCAAACGTTTGAAATATCCCAAAAATAAAAGAAGGAAATGTGAATCTGGCGTTTCCATCTACTGGTTTCGAGCCACGCCAAACGCCATTTTGTCAGTCATTTATTCTACACATAGTTATAATAAACAGGAATTAAAGGTTGCTAATTAGCTTGGAACACACATCTCAACAATCCTCTCCTCCCATCCCAGCCTGCAGTGCCTCACCAGCCTCCCAAAGCTGCATTCCTCCCCTCTCAGCTGGAGGTTTGGGCTTTGAAAATTTCTGAGTTCCATACCTCTGGTATTATTGAAAAAATAATTTTTTTCAATAAAAAAATTAATTAGTGAGTCTGTGCCTTGTAAGACACAGACTCACTAGTAGATGAGAATGTTCACTTTGTTAGAACTTGGTCAGAAAATGTGTTTCCATCTTTCTATTTATACACGAACTGTCTTTCAGAGTGCATACTGAAAAAGGGTCTCTTGAAGCTCACCACCTCAAGTGAGCGTAAAAACTTTGCAAAAATGAGGATGTTATACTGAATTTTGTTGCTTCAAAATGCACACATAAAACCGCTGATGGAAACATGGCTTAAGTTTTTGGCTTAAGCAGACCCATTCTGGCCCAAATAGCCGCATGTCCTCTGAGGTCAGCCACAAGAGACACTGCCCTTCTCCAAAGATCTGCTGTAATCTGACAAATATTCTATGAAATTACAACAGACAGACATGTACAGGGATGCTGCTGAATAGTTCTGAATGTTGCTTACACTGTAAAGCACATGTTTTGCATGCTTCAGATCAATACAATTTGTTATATTATAGAAGGATCCTTTATCTGTCACTCAGCAGTAAAAACTATTTGTATCAACAGCAAAGTAACAGGCAAGTAGAAGTCCACAGAGGCATATGAAAGATAAACAGTTCTAATAAAATAATTCCCCAACTGACTCAAAGGTACATATTAGAAAACAATAGAAATATCCTTTATTGCCCCTCAATGGAGAAATTCAGCTGCACCAGCTGTAAGCTAAAGGTAAATGGAAGCATGCAGATTTTAGCTAATGAAAAAAATATTTTTATACAAATAAGAGACTGTACATTAAATAGTGTACATGTGTCACTATTTAACATTAACACTTGTCTACTGCTTTACTAAACATGGAAGTGACATTTTACATGATATCTTTTCTGGCCTAATTCTCCCCTACCTACTGGGTTTATCATAATTAACAAGGTTCAGATTTGGTTTTATTGTAATTATTCATTTTTCCCCTTAATATAAAGAAAACTTTTCCTTAAAATAGTGTAGCATCCAGTGATTTTCTTAATATCAAGTTCATTTGACTGTTATCCCAAATTGAGTGTTAAAAAAATGTACTGTAAGTAAAAGCTTCAGTCTGAATCCAAAACACAGGACTGGAATTCTAACTGTGTGTTTGTTTTCAGGACTGCCACGGGAAAATCGACGAACTCTTTTCAGATAAGATTTATCTGGTGGGAATCGCTGCACTGGTGGTTGCTGTCATAATGGTGAGATCCTGAAGATGTTGCTTCTGAGCTGAGTTATTATGTTGTTATTACTCTATACATTGATCAAGATTTAACATTCAACTAAAATACAAAACTTAGATGTAGACTTTTTTATCATATACATAATTGCACAGGATATTTATTGTGTAATAGAAGTCTAATTCTAATCATATTAAGGTCTAGCGTTTTCTTAAAGAAATAAAGCACAGAACCAAAATACATCACTTTGATGGTAGCATATCTCCATGGTAGCAGGTCTATTCATAGGCTTCAAACCTAACATGCTTGTTTTAAATCCAAGCATCTCAAAGGATGGTTAGACTGAAACTCTGGTAGGCTATGATATTTCAGATGGAACATAGTCAGACTTGGCTGGCCAAATACACAGCCTATTTTATCCCCAAAAATGGAATGATTGAGAATTATTCTCTTTCTGTAATTCCTGTAAATGATCTAATAAACTCCATTTAGTAGAATGAACTTTTAACTCTATTATTTGAAGCTCTTACACATAATTTACTGATTTCTGATCAACTTGATTGTTTTAACTGCTTTACACACTGATAACGTCAGTGTTAATTCATTCAGTTCACTACCATTGCTTGCACACACACGTGCACACTCATTAATATCCATTTTTTAGCCCATAGTACTTTGTTTTTTCTTTTTCACTAATGTAACATACCATTGCTGTAACGTCTACTGTGATGTAAAATAAATTAATACTTTGATTAAAAACAAAAAGAGAGATGCTAAGTCAAGTATGGGTTAACTGCAACTCCATATTACCTTATAATATTCAAGAGCATTATTACAGTTGCATGTTTTTCTCATATTGTTCCATTATCAAGAGCCATTATTATTAAGGAAGATTATTTTTTTTATCTTAAATATTAAATAAGATTTTATGAAAAAATCTTGAAAATTTTATTATTTGTCAATCAATTCTAACTTTGATAACTAGCACATTGTAACGTTTTACCTTGCCTGTTGAGTTCTTATATTAGATAAGTGCCAGAACACTTCTACTGCTTAGTTTATAATTATCATCTGGAAAACAGATGAAAGATGAAAGCAAACATGTTGGTTTGTTGTCACTGAGTGTGATGTCTCTGTTTCTCCTGGCAGATCTTTGAGATGATCTTCAGCATGGTGTTGTGCTGCGGCATCCGCAACAGCCCCGTGTATTAAAGCAGCTGAGTGGATGGAAGAACCACATCAGTCACATCCTGTTTTTCTTTTCTTTATAACTTCAAATTATATCATATAATGCTTGCTGGGTTTAGTCAGCTCTTTAAAATGCTGCCCTGAAAAAAAAAAACACACACACACAAAATCTTCATTACACTGTTCCATGTTTTTTTATTCACAGATGCTGTCATATACAAGTAGCCCTATCCTTTTACGATGTGTAGCGTATTTTTAATCAATCATTCATTGGTTCTAATCACCGGTCAAGGTGCTGTAGTTCTTTGGAGATTTTTTTTTTAAGTTTGTTTTGTGTGTATTGGTTTTTACTTCAGTCCTGCCTATGATCATGCTCATACATTCTCTGTTTTATGGGTTTATTTGACTGTTTTCTGTATAAACTGTATATAAATATATGTTAACAGTGCTTTATGTCTGCCTGAGCATAGACATGGTATTACACAAGGTGTCTATCCAGTAGTTTCTCTTTACTAACCTCTGATTGATTGTCTTGCTTTAGACTGTGTGTTACTAACACTACAGCGGTCGGCCTTATCGACAAACGAAGCTCACCCCGCATCCATGTTAATATGGTATGTCTGCATGAATCTAGTTCATCTCAAACGCTGCTGGGAACACCAGTCACCAGTGTTTCCTGCAAGTATTTACTAATATTAGGAAGAAAAAAAGTTTTTCTTGCACTTAAACTAAACGTTTAGATCTTTACTTACCCTCACCAGCTGCCGTAGTGAATTTAAAAGTGAGTACGACGACAAGACCAAGCCACAACGGAAGTTATGCTTGTAGGTTTATCATAACTTCTGACTTCCTTTGTGGTTTTTGCATGTCGTTGACCACCGTATCCGTCTCCGTTTACATGGTGACGTCCTCCTCTGACCTCTGACCATTGATGTTTACCATCCATGTAAGAACATATTTTAGTAGAGGCCCAGATGGGGCAGAGGCAGCAGATCTGTTTGGGTCCAAATTTACTCTACAAGATGCAGCTGTTGCTCACACACACGCACGCACACACAGCTGCACATCAGCACTGCCTGGAAATACACACCACTTCACTGCATCTTTCTAACCCCCTATGAAGTCTTAGCCTATATAAACCATGCCTTGTAAACTGAGAAACAGTGGAAGTGTGTAATACACCTTTAATGTATCCTAGTAGAGAAGGTTGTAGAGAACAATGTATGCCTTTTTTCTCTTTGTATCGCGATATCTTTGTCTGGTACGTCAAACAAAGTCTGGTGAGGGGGAGAGAGGTGTTCAGTGGCAGGGTCAGCTTTTCCCCCAGATTATTAAAATTAACTAAAAAGAATAAAGTACAGCATTTATTTGGCTCTTAATGAGGACACAGTGCGTTTCTCCAAGTTGATATACTTTCTATTTGACAAAGAATGCTCACTGCCAAAAGTCTGGCCCTCTTTTTGCCCTTGTGGACTTTGTTTTGCCCGGATTTAAAGGGATTAAATGTATTTTCCAAGTAAGTAATTTGCTGGTCTGGTCTTTGTTTCAAAGCATGCTGTGCTGTGATATTGATAAGTCTTTATCAGTGAGTAATACATGAACCTGTAGATAGAATAGAACTCTTCTGACAAAAAATATAAATAATTATCAGTTATCATGATCACAGATTTAAAGAGTTTTACTGAATTAATGGTTATTTTTTTTAACAAACTGTTTTAAAAATCCATGTGTGTCACCCAACTTGGCCCAGGATTATATTTAACATGACAGTTCGAACCATGGAGGGGCCAGTTAGTCCATATCCAGATGAGTATTTTTGATGCATTACATGACAGTATGTTATAAGACAGATAATCTGTGAAAAGATTGATCTTCTCCCTGAGCTACCATTGCCATCTGAAGAAATGCAGCAAAACAACCAACCAGCGCCAAGAGGAGGGTTTTGACGCTGTCAATCAACCTCATGTACTCGATGCTCAATGTGCTAATGGAAGAGAAACAACATACCGTTACAGGAAAGTTGTTTATTCAGTCACCAGTGGTCATGCTAACAAGCATAAGCATTCAGGACAGGTTATGCTAGCTGCAGCATTGCAGAGAGAACATGGGGCGTGCTGGAGAGGGGAGAGCAGTGCCACATGGATGCTGATTGACAGCACTATGACCCTCCTCCTGGCTCTGATTGGTTTCTAGTTTCCTGATGTTTTTTTTGTTTGTTTTTTTTCACAGATTTGTTTCATACTACACTCACAACATGGTGACAGTTTCAACAAATATGTAAAAAAATAAAAGAGAAAGAGACAATAAAATTTACACACTGAAGCTTTAATAATCTGTTACTGTGTGGCCTATAATAAAACCTTTGGTTCGCCATCGAGCCCAAGGTTTATTCAGTTTTTGAATAAATTTCAATTTGAAGTTTTCACTTTTCCTTGTTTCAATATTTGAGAATTTTTTTTCTGTCCAGAGCCAGCGGCAGCAGCCTCTACGTTCTCTGCTTCAACACACTTGAATCATTTCATTGGGTCAACAGGGTTCTGTAGAACTTGACCTGCCGATGAGGAAATCAGTCACTTGATTCAGCTGTGAATACAAACAGTTTCAAACATTGCCATTAGGGGGTGCAATATACAAAGAATTTATTTTTACAGATGGCAGACACACAGCACACAGAACACACAGCTTGTGTGTGCATGTTCCTCATTCTGTGTTTGGGTGCTTTCATCTGAGACAGCAGTCTGTGCTGCAGGTTACCTTTACAAACAGTCAGAGGAGTTTCTCAAAATGTGATCATAAAAACTCATACAGGGCTGTTCATTTGTTCTGCAGTGCAGAATATAAGCAACACAAAAAAAATGACAGCATGAGTGGCTTTGTCTGGTTTTTCACAATTTGGTTGACAGGAAATGCTAAGATTTCACAAACGGAGCCCTCCTACAGGAAAACCTTCCTGCATTCCTTTGATGACCAGGGGCAGCAAGATGAGTGAGGGCAGCAGAAGAACAAGTCACAGTTCAGTGAAACACAGTTCAGTAAGAAAATCAGAAGAGGGGAAAAAGTGTTCCATCACAAACAGAAAACAGTGTTATGACCTACAGATCCATGATGAGTTCAGTGTTCAGCCTTATCAGTGACAAACGAGACAGAGAGGAGAGTCTTCTCTGATTCATGTTGACCACATTTAGATTTTAGGTGACTTAAAGAAAAGGTCAACCCTTCCATCTCATGACTCTCCTCTACATTGTCCATCTAATTATCTAATACCACAGTTAGTACGTGTCTGTTTTGCCGCAGCCCAACAGCAGTTGTAGTAAATATGTTTCTTTAACCAGATGGTATATTTCCCAGGTCTGAACCTGGGAAATATACCAATATGACAACTGACGATACAATGTTAAATGATTTTAGTTTGCACCTCAATCCAGCAGGATTGCTGGGCCTTGATGTCAAACTCAAGGCCCACGGGCCAAATCTGGTCCACCACAGCTATTTCTGTGGCCCTCTAAGCCTCAAAGGGCTACAGAAATACAACTTCATTATAACTTAAATATTATTTTGTCAGTCAAATCGGTTTTAATTTGTTTAGTCCTTTAGGGCGAAAATACATCAAAATGAAAAGGTGTTAAATATTATTAAGGAGTACAGATTGAATGCAGAGAACGCTATGATATTAATAATTTGTTAATGAACAGTTTTATTTGTATATTCTGCCGTTGAGCACCTTCATGATCTTGATATGGTCCAGAATGAAAACGAGTTTGAGACCCCTGCAGTAGGGGGACAGCTTGGGACGGTCTGGGACACTGTAGGACTGTTTGAGGCAGTTTGAGGACAATTTTGGGACAGTTTAGGAGAGTTGAGGAAAGTTATTTTATGGAACATAAATGGCAAGGATTTGAAGATGATTATGTTAAAATGTTTAGAATCATTCAAAAGGCAGTAAAGATCTTGAACAAACCTTAAGAAAATCCTAGAAGTTGTTTTTAAAGAGTCACAGAATGTCAACCTGCTTGGAAAGAAAGTGTGGATTCCTGTTTTGAACAGTGTTGGAAAATGCACAATGTGGACCTGTATGTTGCTTTTAGTCCACATCACACCACCAGAGCTCCTGCCTACGTCTCATACATAAACCCTTTTTTTAAGTGAATATCAAAACATTCTGTGGCGCTTCAGTGTTGCATCCTGTGTCAGGAATGCCTTTGAAGCTGCACACCCTAAAAACACTTTGAGGTAGACACATTACACACATAAACTCAAATCAGAGAAGAACCAGAAGACAAGCAAGCTTTCAATGTTGAAATTCCATTATTATTTAAATTCATTTCATAAGATGCATAAAAATGGGCAGAAAACTGTTTTCCCCGTGTAGATTTCTTTATTGTAAGGATTTACACACTGGAAGATGCTCAGAAACAATCAGAAATATACTAAGTCAAATTAAAATGAAGAGATTGGCTAAAATCTGTGGACGTTGTGACAGATATTGGTTCAGTTTCAAACAGGATCCCTGCAGAAAAACCTGAAAAGGAGCTTTTTCTGCAGGGATCCTGTTGAGATGCTACCAATAAGATTTTAGTTTGCATCCCAGCGTATTACACTTTCAAGTTTATGTAAACTTTATAAATATTGTGATATTAAAGGAGTAAAAAGTACTTCTGTCAGACTTTGTTCTGTTCTTATGTAAGTTTTGGAGTCAGATGTTTAACCTTGTTCTACCTGAGAACCAGATGATGGGCAATGTTGCATAAATCTAAACCCTTAAATCCCAATGTGAAAACTGAAGCAGCTTCTGAGATTCATACCACATTGTGAAACTCTTATCACCAAAAACCGCAAGATAATGGTTCCACCATGTGGGGATGAGCGTCTGCCATTACTGATAGAAACCAAAGTTCATTCTGCTGTTTTTCTGTTTTCTGCCATTTGACCCAACTCTGATAGAGTCAGCCCAAGACAGCATAAACATCCTTTAGGTCACCGACTGTGGATTCACCAGCCAAAAGTTGAATTGTTTGGATTGCCTCAGCGCTCCTCTCTCTC